TCGAAATTTATATAGGATAGTAAATGTTACTTCAGAGAAAATTTTGACAAAAATTACACTTCAACCCTAGTTTAAAATGTTTCACTTAACAACCAACAGAAGTTAAAACGTCACGCGCAAAATTGCATCGTTTTTAAGTGGTCCTCATGACCCTTTCTAGTAATGTGTCAAAAGTGGATTTTTCTGCCCCCATACTTTTCTACACACCACACACACAATATTCCATTTTTCCAAATTGCAATATATATTAGTATTCGCTGCACTCTGAACAAATTAAGGTTGCTGACATGAAATTCAGCGTTATGAAATTGAAGGAGCCGTATCTAGACATCGAAATTATCTATGATCTTTTGCAGTTTTGTTCGTTAGTTTTTGTTCGTATCCGTACTTTCCCCCTTGTTGCAATCCAACAAGCTGGCACACAACTCATCCTGACAATTTATTATAATACTTTTCTCTCCTCTCTCACACACACACACGCCAGCCGGCCAAGAAGCCTATACATATATAGCCGCAAGAAGCCCTTCTGGTCCAACCATACAAATCTCGTCATCGTCAATCAAACATGGCTATGTGTAACCCAAAAACCAGCTTCTGTTACTCTTCGTGTCTTCTTCCTCTTGCTACTCCATAAAATCAACTCAGAATCATTTTCCTTCAGAGTTTCGACTTTTTCGAGCCAGGATTACCTGTAGCTTTAGTCGGTGACGCGATTTCATACGGCGGGGGCTATCCTCCTCACAAGAAGAGATCAGGTCGGAGGAGGGGAAGTCGTCATCCGCAAAAACAGCGTCGGCCGAGCAGTGTACTTCACCACCAATCCACCTATGGGATAGATACACCGGAAATGTTGCAGACTTCACCACCGAGTTCACGTCGTCGTCGTGGATTCCGGCGGACCACTTCTTCACGGCGACGGCTTGGTCTTCTTCATATCGCCGGTGGAATCCGCCCTTCACATCCCTGTAAATTCATCCGGTGGCTATCTTGGATTGTTCAATCCTGAAAATGCCTTCAACCCCAACCGCCAGAATCGAGTCGTGGCCGTTGAACTCGACAGCTTCGGAAACGAGTGGGACCCTGTTCAGGAATCTCTAGCTGCTCACGTAGGAATCGATGTCAACTCTCTTAGGTCGGTGAAAACTGCAGATTGGCCAATCAACAGCGTACCACGAGGTTCTTTGGGGAAGGCACGTATTTCATATGACTCTAAGACTAAAGAACTCAGTGTGACCATAATTTACGATGGTACTAAGCAGGGTAGGGTAGTTTCACTATCGCAAATTGTTGACTTGAAGAGCGTTCTACCAGAATGGGTTAGAATTGGATTCTCTGCGGCCACTGGCGATTTGGTTGAGTCCCATGATATTCTTTCTTGGTCTTTCTCTTCTTCCCTTCGACAAGAAAAAAGCACTTGAAGAAGACGATCATGCCACTGGTTCTCCGTGAAATCTAAACTTCGTATTTGTATGTTTCCTGAATAATATCAGCAAGGCACTAAGCTTGGTGTTTTGATGGAATCACGTCTAGTTGTCTTTCTTATTATTTAAATCTTGGTGTATGTTTGTACGCTCTGAATTTTTCGTCGTTACATTGACAAAGTAATTTTTTGTTGTGATCAATCTGTTTGTTCATGCTATCTCTTGCCAAAATTTCTTGTGCCTTGAGCTTAAATATAATGTTGAAGTTTGTGGACATATGAATCAGATGTAGTCATATATTTTCTACCACTTTCTTCAATCAAGTAATTAATTTATACTTCGCTATGGATTTAACTCTTCAATATGAATAACAATTCATCGATCAGCTTTCAATAACTAAATGAGGGTTATATGATCAAGCCGGCGATTTGGAATTAGTTTAAAAAAGCAAAGGTCACAAATATTTTGAATTTTTTTTATATTAATAAAATAAATATTTGTCGTAATTAATTTGTTTGTTCATGTCTATCTCTCGCCAAATTTTCTAGTGCCGTAAGTTTAAACATCCAAGTTCAAAGATATTTTTAATCAAGTTAATTAACGCGCTTAGCCATTGGATTTATTTGGCATCGATTGATCAACGAATACTATTCAATATGCACAACAGTTCATCAGCTTCCATTAGCTAAATGATGGCTTTAATCAAATAAAAAGGCACCATGAATTAGCTCAAAGCAAAGGTCATTAATATACTGACAAATCCGTCAAAAATATAACATCAATGGTTCAAGCGATGAACACATTATTCAATTAGAAAAGTGAAAATTTAATCTAGCTAAGATTAAATTAAAATTAAAATTTATGTATGTGTGTATTACTTTTGAAATACAAGACGAAGACAAGAAGTTGAGAAGTTGATTCGAACTATATCATCTATACTTTGAAGAGACATATATCAAGAGAAAAGTAAGATAATGCTAGAAATATATTAAAACCACGAAATGATCATTTATTAAAAATATGAAATATAGTTCAGATGACCTAAACTAGAATTCATTGAAAAAGAGAAAGAGGGGAAAGAACAACCTAGACTTTATTTTTGCCTCCACCTCTGGCAAACAAAAACAATATCATCTATATATCTATTTTGGTGGAGGGAAGAAAATAGCATCAGAAGTCCTCTTTGAACGAAAGAGTTGTTCGAGTTTTGAATCCACATTGAAACCAGCTTGCAAAACTGTAGGAGATAAAGCCTTCCACACCGAAGAACTTCCAGCCAAATGAGTAAATATAGGACTGTATCACATGATGAGTAATCATTAGAACCATAAACATCGTAATCATTAGAATATCAATTGCGTAAGAGATATATAAGAGAAACTTACTTAGGGGTAGTGATGATAGAGAACCACTCCAAGCCATCTGCATCAGCAATCTTGGAAACCACATGAAACCTAGGTACGATGAACAAATTACCAGCTTTTACCGTCGTCTCCAAGACTCTCTTACCATCCGGACCAACAACCTGAACACGACCACTTCCTCTAACAATGTAAGTAACTTGCAAGGCAGAGTCACATGAAAATCCAGGGAACACATGGCACTTCCATCTAACCGAACAAGATCTGCTCCAAGTCCGATCTCACCAACCAAAGGAAGATTCTTGGTGTTCAAAACAACCACTCTTCCACCATCCTTAATGTCTACATCTAATGGAGCCTCCAGACAGTTCAATGCCATGCCTTTACGATGATCAGGCTTTGGCTCGGGAAGTTTAATGCTGTTGCTGTCGAGCTTCACAATGCCCTTGTTTGATTGGCTTCCGACTATGGCCTTAACATCTTTCTCCTCCAAGTCCCAAGCTCTGCCCACAAACTCGTGAGAGAAACCAGTGAAGATTCCGTTTGAACCAGTCAAAAAGAGTCGGTGAATTCACCAGCCTTGTGGGCTTTTGAAGTGTCACCAAGAAAAAGAACGACCAACTCGGTGTCGTCCTTGTTGTACCACCAAGTCACTACACCAAAAGGAAGTGCCATAGCATCGCCTTTCTTGATTGCTAGGATCTTCTCTTCTGATTCAGGCAGCACGATTCCTACAACTCCATTTCCTGAATCAACAAGAGCATTAATAACACAGTTCAAGAATATGTGCACTCTTTAAAGTATTAATATCAATGACAACAGACACCAAGAAAGCTGGCTAACAGGTTTGATAGGTGAGGTAGGCTTTTCATTCACAGATAAGCTATGTTTCAGATTCATCTTAGATCTTTCTCTGAAAATTCAGATTCAGAAAGCAAAATTCACATTTAACTTCCAACTGTCTACGCCCCCCGATGGCCAAATCAATGAAAACCAAGACTTCGTAGGAAGAAACCCTAGAGACAAAATTAGTGTTGCGGAACCCAGTATACTTTGAAACACTTGTTAATAAACAAAATTCGCAATGTATCGTGCATGATCAAAGGCTGCATTGAATAATTGTGAGACAGTTTATTTTTAAGTTCTCCAAAGATAAAAAAAAAATAAGGGATTAAAACCAAACCCCTTTATACATCAAGAATTTGAGATCACAGAAGTGATTTCTATAACAATATAAAATCACGATGGCTCTCGAATCAAGAATAATTAAGAAGGATAGCTGACGCTAACATAAATAATTAACATAAAAAATTATCTTCTTATGCATGATAGCTTCCTAAACCAAACAATTACAATGCTTTACACGATCAAGAATCAAAATGAAGAGAAAAACCAAAACAAATACCTTGAAGAGCGTAAGCAACCATGGAAGAGTCCGAGTATCTCGGAAGCGCAAAACCATTCTTTTCAAGAGCGAGTTTACCCGCACCGATATTGCCGTGATGTAACATGGGAAGCTCAGAGGGAGACCAGGCGTGGTAGGATCCACCATCACCTCCATACACTTTCTTGGCCAACTGGGGGGTAAGATCAATCGCCATCTATTCTGTGGTTTCTCGATTCAATAACGAAAACTAACACTAAACTCTCAGAGAAAAAGAAGGATCACAAATCTGTATGTTGAATGGCCTTGGTGGAGTGGGAATTTATAGCCGATTTGAGAGAAGTTTTTGGTCAGTTTTAATTTTTGGTAGATTTTAAATTTAATTGTTTGAGATATGGTTAATTAAGTATGTTAATAATCTATCCTTATCTATGCGTTACAAAATTAAATTATGGTATTTTCTATATTTGAAAAATAAAAGAACAGTAAAAATAGTGAAAAGAAAAAAAAAGATAAGTTTTAATTTTAATTTTTTTTGGATGAAGTTTAAATTATAATTTAGGATAAGGATAAATAAATATGAATATAAAATACTAAGTCTATAACAGGTAGTCTCAAAACATTATAGCTTATAAATAATATAACTTACTTCAAATTATTTACCATATACCAAAAACATATCTGCTAATCTATGAAGCATTAATACTTCAATACTATTTTGATTTTCAGATTATTATTTTTAATTATTTTGGATACGTAATCAATACTTTTTCATGAGTCTCTATGATTAATGATTGTGGTTTAATCTTTTTATTCCTAAAATCTTGTATGGTTTGCTTTTAAAATAAAAGATTAGATTTGATGAATGAAATAATTTTGATAGTGCTAGAATTTTGAAGGTGGCAAAATTATCTTTTAATAAACCAAACATAAAAGCTATCTTTTTTGCCAATGACAATAGTGTGGAGGATGAAAGATTGATACTATACCGCACTAGTCAATTATGCATAGAGTAGAATAAAAATATTTAATGAATATTTGACATTATTATTATTAAAAGACTTTATAAATATGCCGATATTGCTTGAATTGAAATTATATTTTTAGTGTATTTTTATGATTATACACACACATACATATATCTAATAATTATTGTATCACAATTTTTTAAAAATAAAGTATCGACATACATATACATATCATATCTTATTCATGTATTATTGTATTTGTGTATTATATTTATGATAATTAAAATTATAATATATAGGTGGGTCATCTTGTTTTCAGTTATCTTATAATGATATATTATTAAAATACCTGCGATTTGCAAGTCTCATTTCAAAGCATAAATATATTTTAAAACATATACTAACATTATCTCATTTAAGCAGCACAAAAGTAGATTAATTAATAATTAAGATGATGACCTGGATTTTGATTATGTATTTAAAATTTTAAATCAAGCTAACCATGATCTGATCCTATCATGCCACATGTTAATAGTCTAATATTAGTCACTTTGAAGTATCCTAGGCAAATAAGAAAATAAGTTAGATCACTTAATTTGTCATAAAATTTCAAAGCTTAATTTCCACCATTGTTCTTATTATAACTACAGTAAATTTCAACATCATATTAATTATTTTAAATTACATACAACAAAGTAAAAGAAAATAAGTAATGCAATTGACATCTCCCAAATTGATTTAGATTTGGGATTTAAAAAAAAAAAGTCCTTCCACAATGTGAGTATGTGACTAATATTAAGGAGACGAGGATATTCGTTTTCTTCTTCTTCGTTTTTCCAATCTATATCGAATCTATTGGTCTCTTGCCTCCTCCCCCTCCAATCCTCACTAGATATGACCTTGTAATTTTTGGGTTTTTTTTTTTTGCCAACAGACCTTGTAATTTGAATCATTGCAATGATTTATGGATGCGCTTGTATTTTGAATTTTGAATCAACATCATCAATGGAGATTTTGTTTGATTTTTGTTAAAAAAAAATTGAGATTGGATGATTTATGGAGATTTTTTTTAATTGATTAAAAGAAAGCAAATTATTCCAATAAATTATTTTGAACGGGGAAAAACATAAATTAGTTTAAATCACATATATTCACGCCACAAAAGAATAAATTTTCAATATATTTTTTAAAAAGTTATCAAAATTGATTTCGTGATAAATTTATTCGGTCATAAATTTTATGTTTTCTCATGCATTTGAAATGTTATGATAATACATAATTAATTATAAAAATGTATCAAACAAATAAAAGATACACTTTAAATAAAAATGTAAAAATGAATTCATGGTTACGAAAAACAAATCCTTTTACTCAGTAATTTATTTTTTTGTTGGATTCTTTTTTCCCCCCCGTCTTTGAATTTAATTTTTCCCTCACTTTTTTTTGGTTTGAAATTTGATCTTAACAATCACATATATTAATACAGTTTGCATTTCTGGCTTGGTAATTTCTTACAAATTGAAAAACTTAAAATGAACCCTTTTATTAACAGATAAATTTTATTTGTGTTTATCCTTTTTTAGGGATCTTTTTTGCCAACTTTTAGGTTAAAAATTATGCAGGTTGAATCCCAAAGATTCATTAGGGGTATTATATTCTTTTTATATATAAAATTATTTTTAAATCAGTCTCCTAATTCTACAATAATTTTTAAATTTTTAATCATTATTTGATATTAAATTGTTTCAGCGGTGAATGATATTTTTCCTGTATCATAATTCATAAAAACATGCAAGAGGACCTTTTCTTTTGGTCCAACATGTAAATGGTCTTATAATGAAATACAAATTTCAAAGGGGACAAATGGAATTTTCCAACCGAGGACAGAAGTTGTCTCTGTCAAATCCTTCCTTCCTCCCTGGACATTTATATTCATTGAATACCAAATGTCTTCATGATCGGACTTAGTTTTTCGGCGACACAAACAAGAATTAGACTTGTTGACAACGAGTTTAGAGTTTAATAAATTAGACGTAGAAAATATGCAAAAATAGGATAAAAAAAATATGTCGAGGATCGAGGTGATAGTGAAATTATACTTGTTATTACTTATCTTTAAACTCGGGCCAGACGTTTCATTTTAATTAATTAATACCATCTCACCTCCCATTGATGATCTTTTAAATTGATTTTCAATTTCAATGTTCCTTTCTTGTTTATTCAAAAAAAAAAAAATAGTTGAATGTCTGTCATTTTTTTATTTATGTTATTTAATTTTTTTATTAGATAATAAAAGGGCGAAACGCCATATACAAACAATTTCAATAAACGGGATTATTCAATTCTATCAATTTTAATCCAATCCATTGGACTTTTTTCTTTTTTGGTCATTAATATTTGGCAACCGGGATCCCAAACGTTTATTACTTTCAATAGCATGCATTCTTAGGGAGAAAACAGAGACACAATAAGGCAACTAAAGGTAGCTCAGTTACGTTGGAATGGGAAGGGAATAAACAATTAGTGGTTAATTAAAAGGTTAAACCCTCCTAATAATATTTTAAAAAATATTTTGTATCGATCACTATCATCCAAGGATACATATACGATATACAATTTATTATAGCTTCTTTATGCAATAACTTTTTGTTTGTTAATACAGCTACACATGAACAAGATTATAACCATATATTATGCACACACACTCACACATTGTTGGTGGTATCTGTTCATCGAAATTATCAAGAATCATTCTTTGTTATTAGCAGCAGCAGGCCTGTATATATACATCCGCATTAATCTCTCCTTCTTGCCCAAATACACAATATATTATCAGCAAATTAACAAGCATGCCGGCTATCAGATGGAAGCCAGAACCTTCCCTTATTTTGATCTTCCTCTTCTTCCTCTTGCTACTCCACAAAATAAACTCAGAATCAATTTCCTTCAGCTTCAAAGTTTTCGAGTCCCAGCCCGACCTATTACCCATAGCATTAGCAGGCGATGCCATTTCATACGGCGGAGCTATGCTTCTCACCAAGAGAGATTTCAAGCGAGGGGCGAACCTCACGATGCGCCAACACAGCGTTGGACGAGCAGTGTACTTAACACCAATCCACCTTTGGAATAGTGACACCGGAAAAGTCGCAGACTTCACCACCGAATTCTCCTTCGTGGTGGCTTCCGACGGTTCTATTCTTCACGGGGACGGCTTGGCCTTCTTCATAGCGCCGGTCGAAACCGCTCTTCACATCCCTGCAAACTCATCAGGTGGCTATCTCGGATTGTTCGGTCCGGAAATAGCCTTCAGCACCTCCCGGAATGAGATCGTGGCCGTCGAACTGGACAGTTTCGGGAACGAATGGGACCCAATTCCTGAACCTCTAGCTGCTCACGTAGGAATCGACGTTAACTCTCTTAGGTCTCTGAAAACTGCTGATTGGCCAATTAACCTCGTGCCACGAGGTTCCATAGGGAAGGCTCGTATAACATACGATGCAAGGACCACGACACTGAGTGTGTTGATTAGTTATACTGATACTCAACCTAATAGGTTTGTGTCGCTATCGCAAACCATTGACTTGACGACTGTGCTGCCGGAATGGGTTAGAATTGGATTCTCGGCGGCCACAGGCGATCTGGTTGAGGCCCATGACATTGTTTCGTGGTCTTTCAGTTCGTTCCTTCCTGAAGAAAGCGATTAATTCGTGAAGATGATGATGACAATCAAGTGTGGATGTTCTGAAATCTGTGTTTTTTCTTTTATGTTTCCTTAATTAATAACGGCGAGTCGCCAAAGTTTGGTGTTTTGCTTTTTCTTATATTTTAGTCAAGCCTTTGTCAGCTCAAAGTGTTTACTGTACTCCGGGTTTTATATTTTAGTTCTATTAATGATTGATAGAATAAAATATGAAATCGTTGTCATTAATTTGTTCGTTCTTGCCTTTGTGTCTCGTGTGCGCTCAATTCCGAGTTTGAGAACTTTCTTTTCTTAATAATATCAAACGAGAAAATTACCTAACACGGGCGATAGATGCTCAATAGGCGGAATGCCCTACACACACACACCATCTCTCCCCCCCCCCCAGCAAAAAAAGGAAAAAAAAAATCCCCTGCTCCGAATGGAGTTATAAATTACTTCCCCAATTCAATATATATAAGCATTTTCTTTAGGTTAGTCTTAATCCGAAATATAAATAACTTAGTATTTATTAAAAAAAATTCACTTTATTCCTTACATTTATTAACTCAGTTTCTCATACATGTGAATTTATGACATTTTTCTCACCCATCATAAATTGAAATTAAGAATAAAAAATAATATATACTTTCATCAGGATATGAATTTTATTGGTATGTAAATTATTATTAAAAATGCTTAAATTTTGGGCCAAAGGGAGTAAAATAAATGATAATAGTAGACTATTGATACGTATTGGGTCTAATTAACCCATAAAGTATAGTTAGGGGAATAAAAGCTATGGATTCATGAATTGATTGAAGAAATTATCGATTTGTCTTCATAAAGACTTCACAGGAATATGTTACAGTTGGTCCCTATATTCTTGACATGTTTGGAATTAATTCTTTTCTTTTCTCTAAATATCTTAAGTTTCATTTGTTTGCAACATTAAATTTTATCATTCATTACTACAAAAATAAATTTATTTGACCCTTATTTTTATCATATTTTACAGTTATTAATCGTCAAATATTATGTGCCATTTATACTTATTTGATAATTTTTAACCGTCAAGTAAAGTGATTTTACTAGATGGTCATTTTAAAATAATCATCAAATAAAGTGATTTTACTTGATGGTTATTTCAAAATAACCATCAACTAAAGTCACTTTACTTGACCCTTGTTTAAAATAAGGGGTAAATAAAGTAGTTTTATTTGATATTTGTTTATAACAACCGTCAAATAAAGTGACCTTATTTGACCCTTGCTTAAAATAAGGGTCAAATAAAGTAATCTTATTTTATATTTGTTTAAAACAACCATCAAATGAAGTGGCCTTATTTGACCTTTGTTTAAATAAGGGTCAAATAAAATTGTCTTATTTGCCCCTTGTTTAAAATAATTGTAAAATAAAGTAATATCATTATTTTTATTATATATAGTTGTTTTTATTAATTTTTTATTTTTAATATTAAAAATGCTGAAATTTAAAATTAGTCCATACTAATATGATAACAAACTATTATTAATCACAAAAAATTACAATCACTAATATAATTTGCACATAATCTTTAATCCACAACATACATTTACTCTTCATTTCATAGAATACAACATTTTTAGTATAACTAACAAAGTCAAGAATACAACTTTGTAAGTTCTTTCCCCGTACACCAAAAAAAGGTGTTTGAAGTAACAATCCCCTGCAATTAGTCTTCCCGCAATTGTTCTTCAATATTTGTCCTCAACTTTAGTTAATAATTGACACCTTTATTATTCTTCCTCCAAGAGCTTTGTTGGACAGTATCACTCCATGAACTCCATTTTTCATTATGGATCAATGCTGGAAAAAAATATTAAGTGTAGTCCAAGTCCAATTTAATTATACATGAAAATGAAATCTAACTATATGCCTTATTATCTGATTTAAGAAAAGAACCATCCACCTTACTACTAGACAATGATTAAGCATGCATGTCCGAAAAAATGTAAAGAAATGCTTATATATATAAAGAACCATAATGCCTTACCAAGCCTGTACCCAAGTGACAACAAATTTGATGTAACCCAATAACAAAATATAGCCTGCAAAATCACCCAAATGACAAGTGAGACTGCACAAAACTGATGAAGCACAAAGTAAAGCTACTTTGGTCAAGGGAGAAATAGAAATTAAACAAGATTTTTCTTCCTATAGCCAAAAGGGGGTCTACAGTTCCCGCAACCCAAACCACATCTTTGGAAATCGAGTTGCTTTCTCTTGTTTATGTATTGAAATCTATGCCACTTAGTTCCCTCTATTCCAGGAAAGCTGGAAAAAGATACAAGTTAGGGATCCATATAAAAGGAAATATTCTAACAGACATCATATATATAGACCAATTGCATCATTGCAATAGTGTCATATAACCCCAAAATTGCCAGGCTGATTTTGCAACAGGTAACTATGACAAGAAAATAAATTCTTTAGCATTTGAGAGGCATGTGATTGATCTGAATACAAGGGTGCATAAATCCATGCCTGTGATTGGCCAATATTTGAAGATCCTTTTGAGAAATGAAAAACTTGTAAAATTTTAAATCTCCAACTCAAGGACTTGCAAATACAAATGTTGTGACTAGACAAGCTTTTTGAGATTCATCTCCTTCAATGCCGAAGCCGTTAGCACTTTATCCAGTGATCTTGGTATGAAGAATTGTTGCAGATACAAAACACACAGCCCTATCATTCAGAGGAAAGACATGGAATATTATTTAATTTTTCTAGTATATCTGCACAACAATAGCTTCTGCATATGCAGCTCCACTAAAAGGCACATATAATTTAACTTCACCATTCCTTTATTCACTTATATATTATCAATCAATAATCAATTAGTATTATACAAGTCAAAACATCATGACCCTATCACATAGCTATAAGATGTCTGTCGAAGGATCCATATCTTTGCAATTGCCATGATTGTCTTCTGTTCTAGATTTGGATATATTATTTTACTCTTTTTTATGTGGTTGGAAATGCCAAAGATCTTAAAGCTAGCATTCATGTTGGTTTAAAATTAAATTAATCTTTAAAAGGCCAATTATCAAGATTACATCTAAATACACGAGTATGCATCATGTATGTATAGTCTGAAGTTAGAACACGAAACATAAAATGTTGTTTTCCCTTCTTCAGTATGTAGAGAAACAGAACTAAATTAAAGGAGCAAGTCTAGCTTATTTTATTTACCTCCACCACTAAAAGAAGCCTAAAACATTGTTGTCAAGACAAGTCTAGAAAAAAAAGATCAATCAACAAGCAATATCTTGCTGCAAATAAAATAAGGCAAAGAAACCCAATATGGGTGACTTATTCCAGCAATTAGTTGTATAGCATGCAACAATAAGAAGGATAGACCACGAAGATGAGAACTTATTAGCATAATAGAATATCCGAAGATACACTAGTACAAAATATAAAATTTATGGGGCACTTTTGACATCGGTTGGAAGGCAAATGATGTAAAAAATAAAGGCAGTGGCATTTTTATAATTATATTAAATTATTTGACACTTTTTACACCGAGTATCCAGGAACCTGGTGTAAAAAGTAGACTTTTTAACCGGTGTAAAAAGTTTGTTTTTAAAATTCTTCCTTCTTCCTCCATTCATCAGTTCCCTCTCCTCCTTCTCGCGCCCTCCCCCTCATCTCCCCTTCGTCCGCCTAGCCCCCTCCTTTGTCTTCTCCCACCGGCCCCCCTTCCTCCCCTTCGCCCAACCCCTTCCCCCTCCTCCCCTCGCCGCCCACTCCCCCTCCCCCCTCCTCCCCCTTGGTCCGCCTAGCCCCCCCCCCTGCCCTTCGTCCCGCCGCCCCTCCCCCTCCCCTTCATCCCTTTGCCCCACCCCTCCCTCTCCCCCCTCCCTCAGTTGCCCCCCTCCCCCCCTCTCCCTCCCTCTTGCCCCCCCTCCACCACTCCTTCTTAGTGTTGAGCCGTTGCTGCAGCTGCCGCTACCCAGGTATGTGTTGAATATAAATTTTTAAATTTTATAATGCTTAAATTTCATTTTTAATGATATTAATTGTTGTTGGGAGTGCTGTTAGTAGCTTCATAAGACCTCAGGTTGTTGCATGTGATCATTTATTTAGTTTAAAATTGTTAATTTTCTCATGTAAAATTTTTTAAAACTTTAGGAAGTCCAATTTTTAGGGAAGACTCAGTCGAAATTTTTTTTTGAATTTATTCTTTCCTCTAATTTGCTTAAATTTAGTTTTTAATAATATTGATTATTGCTAGGAGTGCTGTTACTGGCTTCATAAGGCCTCAGGTTGTTGCATGTGATCATTTATTTGGTTTAAAATTGTCAATTTTCTCTTGTAAATTTTTTTTAAAAGTCTTGGGAGATCCAATTTTCAAGGGAGATTCTGCCGAAATTTTTTTAAATCTTAATTTAATTAGGAACTTAGTTTTTTGAAATAGTTTGAAGGTAATAACATTAGTTATATTTTTTAGGAGGTACATATGGATCGTAGTTGGATGAATGCTAGACGAACGAGTGATGAATATGATAATGGGGTGAAAGAATTTTTGGAATTTGTTAAGAAAAATGCTGTTGACAATAGTGAAAGGTTCTATTATCCTTATATTAATTGTTTGAATGAGAGGAGACTAGGTGTTGTCGAAATAAGAGAGCACTTAGTTTGTATTGGAATTTGCAAAAATTATACAATATGGATTTGGCATGGTGAACGATTGGAAAATTATAGTAACACATCTCAATATGTGGGAGTTGATAATCTTGATGATGAAGTAGAAATGAATGAAGATTGATTAGAGGACATGATCTGTGATGTTGGGGAAGAGGCTTTTGAACGAACACATGTGTATGATAACTTGTGCACTAACGCAGAGAAGCCTCTATACCCAGGGTGCACTGATTTTAGTTTGTTATCTAGGGTGTTAAAACTAGTTACCTTAAAGGCAAGAGCTGGGTGGAGTGACCAAAGTTTCACATTGTTGTTAGAGTTACTTCAAATAAT